AATTATTAGATAATTGATTTTGTCAGTTTACGGTTAATTAAAGGATCATTGTGGATTTTTCTTTATTTCGTGAAAAGATACAAACAAATTTATCTTGGTCTGTAGTTTCATTCAACTCATGTTGCTTTTATTTTTGACATAATGTTGAACGTACTCAGAGTATTTAACAGCCTCTGGTTTTAAAGTAACCCACAGCAGGACTTGTTCTTCATGTTTGTGTTACGGTCGGTAAGTTTACTCTGTGAATGTTTTGATTTGCAGATTCCAGTCCTAAATATCCAGATGAAAATGATTCCTGCCATCGGCACTTTTTTAGGAGCAATCTTCTCTTGCACAAATTACTTCAGAGTTATTTTTACAGGAGGTGTGGGCAAAAATGGATCCACAATAGCTGTAAGTGTAGAAACGTCACTGCTACTTTTGTTTGTAAAATATTAACAGATTCTGCCTCCTAAAAATATTTATTTTTGTGTGTTTCTGCTGTAATTTTTCTCTTTGTTTCCCTCTTTTGTCTTTGTCTCCAGGGAACCAGCGTCCTCTCTCCAGTCCTTCATATTGGTTCAGTTATAGTTTTGGCAGTGATGATATACAAAAAGTCTGCTGTCCGTCTCTTTGAGAAACATCCATGTCTTTATATCCTGGCGTTTGGCTTCGTATCGGCTAAAATCACCAATAAATTGGTTGTAAGTGGATCTTATTTTTTATAAAGGGTAAACTGTAGGCAGGTTACACTTGGGTTTAATCTGATTATGAGTTTAACAGAATCTCTGCTACGTCACATATTTGACCTTATCTTGTACAGTATAGACCAGGACCACAGGGGCCTCAGTTACTGCAGGCCACCAGCTGAGGGGCCGAATATCCAGCAATTAGTCATTATGTAAATAAACCAAGTATTACAAAGATCTGTTACCTTAGAAATACTTTATTTTGCTGCATTTATTCATGAATACAACAMACAGAACCCTATAAAAGTAGTGATAATAAATATCAAAACAAAGTAACAGATTTTGCCTCATATTTAACAYAAACATTTTGACATTTCTGACTTAACAAATTTTTAAACTATTTTTTTTTTCACTTTCATAATTTTATCTTCAACTGCTTGTAGTTTTGTCTTGGATGTTCATAGAAATGTTTTTAGCAGCTTCTATGTCTAACTAAAATAACTTATGGTAATTAATGTAGAAATCTGGTGGTCTGGGCCTAAGAGATGAGTGAACCAATTGGCGGGCCGAACTTTGGTCACTCGTGTGCTGGATGTGGCCCGTGGGCTGCCAGTTGAATAGCCTTGGTATAGACTTCTGATATTCTCAGCCTTGTTGAGCATCAAACTGTGTACCTGCAAGAAATGAAGCTTTCCTCTGATTCCTGTTCAGCCAGTTATAACTGGTTTAAGTTCCTGATCTTGTTGAACAACCTGTGGTTCCTGTTGATGCTGCTGAACTTATCGTTAATCAGATGATGATGTTATCAGTTCATTACCAAAGTTGTCTCTAAATTCATCCAACGCAGGGAAACGTACAGGTGAGAAAATAGGGAGATGTTGCTTTTGGCTCAAGTAATGCTGACTCATCATATTTGAAAGCTGTTTAATCTGTTCAGCTTCACTTGGATCTAAAYGTGACGCAGGCAGCAAATCTTGTGAATAGTAGGTTGCAGGAAAGTTAAATCTAATGGTGTGATGAACATTATTACTTGTGATGTTTTATAAAGAGATGTCAGCTCTCATTTGTGATGCCGGCTGTAATTGTTTCTCYACAGGTAGCACATATGACGAAAAGTGAGATGCATCTTCACGATTTAGCCTTCCTGGGGCCAGGATTGCTGTTCCTCGATCAATATTTCAATAGCTTTATTGATGAGTACCTGGTGCTCTGGGTTGCCCTGGTAAGACCCTGTTTGATGCCACCTGATAGATGTTTGTCTCACCTGGATGCTTTTAAAGTGGAAAAAAAACAACAACCACAGGTTCAGCTCATATAGAATTAAGATACATTTATTTTACGCTAATTTCTATAATTAGTTGGTCACCGGCCTCTTTACATTGAAATATTGTACAAGTAAGATGCTATCATTACTGTGATATATTAAATAATACAAATGATTAAATTATACTGAATTATACCATTTTATTGCTTATTAAACATCATGGCCAGGAGATTAGAGATGAAAAAAAAATCCTTTTGGCTAATTCTGGCTTTTTAAATCTTTTTTAGATAAATAAATCATAATTTTGATGGGATGCAAAGTTAAAATTCCATAGTTTTCGTTAAATATAAGGTACAAAAGTCAACTTTTCATATAAGTTGTGGCCTAAACGGAACATTTTTCTCTTGTTTTCATTCTGAAGAGCCACTGTGTTTCTTTTTCYCCCACAGATCATTTCCCTGTTCGACTTGGTGCGTTACTGCGTTAGTGTTTGCAACCAGATCGCCTGCCATCTTCACATTTTCGTTTTCAAAATCAAGCCCTACGCAGTGTCCGTCTCAGCTGCTCACTGAGGGTACGCCGGCCATTACTGACTCTGTTCCTCGCAGTTAGTCGCACTCTTTTTTTTTTCCCCCTCAGTTTTTCCACCTGCGGCAGCGGGAGACGACGTGATGTAAAGTATGTGCTTCTGCCACCAGAATGTGAGGACAAATAATATATATTAAGTTACTGGAATATTACTGTCTTTATTTTTTATTATTATTTGTTTTTCTTTTCCACCAGTGCAGTTTAATTTGTACCAGTTTCATCTTTTGACAAATTCAAGGTTGCAGAAAACAAATATTCAGGAGAGTACAGGTGCTACTTTCACGCAGAGAAACTTAGACGTGTTTTAACTGTTTAGGTGCGAGGAAATGTTTAAGAAAATAATCAAACTCTTTGCTTTTGACAATTATAATTTTTGTAATATTTGCATAAATTTAATTTTTGCTATTGTAAATACCAAACTGTTGCTTCTCTTAAGTTAGAAGTCCTGCTTTTGACACATTTATATATATAAAAAAGTCCACGTATGACTTCAAAGCAAGTTCATCTTCTGCACATTAATCAAAACTGGGTGGCTTTTTTTATTATTATTATTTTGTATCAGCAAAATATGATTTTTGTGGAAACTTAACAGCAACTTTGTTTCACTTTTATTTAACATATCAAAACGTCCTTTTTTTGTAAATAACTTTAAAAAACTTCACTGCCAGTCTTCTCGATTTGCACTTTTCTTTCTTTTTCTTTTGCTTTTCAAGTTTTGTTATACATTATGAGCGGTCAGGCGTTATTTACATTTATTTGTATTGTTGGCACAAAAGGAAGCTTTACTCGAGTGGAAAAGAGCAATAGATGTATTTTAGACACATTTACTCCAAAAATACCTTCAGTTTAAAGTCTGTTTACTGGTTTTTGCATCTTTGCAGATACAGAGGGGTGGTGTGAAAAATAATTTGTGGCCTTTTTGATTTGTTTGTTCACATTTTTGCAGCATGACAGTGTTTTTTTTAAGGAACAACTTAATCCTATAACTGAACCCCATCTGATGCTTTTAATCCTTTTTAGTTTGTGTCAGAAGTATTGTGTGAAAATACCTAAACATGTTTCACTTTTATCACTCGTATGGTGACTTGTTTATGGCTAATGAATGTCTAAAAGCAGCGCGTCGTGTATTATTTGGATTAAAGCCTCACCGTAGTTTTCTACAGCTGCTTTTAAAGTCTGCATGTGCGCTCGGAGCATCTTGAGTTCCTACCAGGGTCAAATAGATGCCACCAATTCTGTTTTGATAAACTCGTTTCTCTTTTCTTTCATAGGATTTCTTTTATTGGAGAAAAAAGTACAGCCAGATGCTTAAACGAAAGATATGTATTCATTCTCGCAGCTATTTAACTGAACCATCACTGTGAAACGTCTTCAGTGTTAACCTCCTCAGTAAAACGTTTYCCCCCTCAGACACCAGAACAGGTGTGCAGGAGAAGAGGTCGCGTGACAGCCTCGTGCTTTTCTTTTTTTTATTTTGTGAAAACTGACAAGAATCAGATTAAACTTAATAAAAAACTTGTTTTTTCGACATGCTGCTCGTTCTGCGTTCACAGCATCGCATCAGATCCTGATACAGAACCTCGTACTGATGGTGTGTTAAAAGGGATCCATGATTAGCTGTAACATTAGACTTTATTTAATAAACATATTTTAACTGTAAAATAAAGACTGTAAAAATACTGTAGGCTGTTTAGTTTTTATAATTTTTAAACGAAAAGTTTAAAAATTTATATATATAATATATTACATATATACATATATATAATATATTACACGGACATGGCCATTTTATGTACACGCAAAGCATTCTGGGTAAATGATGACATGGATAGGTCCTCGGTGTGAGGCTGCTAGCGAGCTATATCCACCCTGAAGGTTAATCTTGGACAATATCTGATGATCGACTCTTTTAAATGAAACCAGAGAGCRTTGACAGAGAGGAGAAGGTAGAAATGACTCAGCCTGGAACTGAAAATATGGATGGAGGACCTCAGTTTAGCTTGTTTGTCGCGCTAGTGCCGAGCTAATACATATAAGGTAATATAGCGTCGGCGCTAGCGCAAAGGCCAACAGGCTAAGCTGAGGTTCTTCTTCCATGAAGCAGCTCTGTTGTCCTCCATCCATATTTTCAGTTCCAGGCTGAGTCATTTCTACCTTCTCCTCTCTGTCAACGCTCTCTGGTTTCATTTAAGAGTCRATCATCAGATATGGTCCAAGATTAACCTTCAGGGTGGATATAGCTCGCTCACATAGATGACCTATCCACGTCATCATTTACCCAGAATGCTTTGTGTGTAAATAAAATGGCTCTGTCTGTGTTAAAATATATATTTTTTAAATTTACAAAACTAAACAGCCTACGGTATTTTTAGCCTTTATTTTACAATTAAAATATGTTTATCAAATAAAGTCTAATGTTACAACTAATCAGGGATCCCTTTAATAAAGCTGCACTTTTCTGTTTATCGCAACATAAAGATTTATTGTTTCTGTTTACATCTGCAAATACTGTTGCTCTGCCTCTTTATTATTGTGATCTTTAAGTGCGGGCTGTAATGAGTCTTATGAACATTTAATATCTTTAGATTTCCCCTGAGTTCAGGTGGGGTTAACAGATATTTGAATGAAAATTGATGATTTATACAAATTGTCCTCACAAGTGTTACAGGATCACTTCACCCAATTCATTAAGTGTCCCCCAAGACAAAAAATATAAAGAAATATATAGAAAATTACTTTTAAAAGCTTAAAAAATATATTATTTTGAGAATAAATAGAGGTTGCCATTAATTTTATGTTTCTGTGTRTTACATTCAGATGATGATAAATTTAAAATGTTGCATGGGGTGAAAATGTAATATCTAACATAACTTTTCATTAATAAAGATTTTTTTATGTTTTGTTTTCATCAGAATATCTATGTACGTGCAATACAAAACAAAATTATAAGTCATGTTGACCGAGTCCAGTCTTTAGGATTACATAAAGTTTTTGAAAACACTCAGGTACAAATTATTTTTTATAATTTCCAGGAACTGATAAGAACAMACAATTATTTCTAATTACTAATTTGCTGGAAGTTAAAATGTTAAAAGTCAAAGTCAGAAAATGTTTGTAATTTGGGTGAACTGAGCATTTAATGGTAAAAAAAAAAGACTTTCCTGCTGTGTTACATTGTATCATGAGTGTTTTAAAGAATTATACAGAATAATTCATCTAATGTCTGTTATTTTTTTCAGTGTTCCAGTTGAAAATAAGGAATGAAGCAATTCCTTAAACTGCATGTGTCGTACTTTTCCACTGTACAGTTTGTATCTGGAGAGTCTTTGTATAACTTCTACCTGAAAACTGAACTGAAACATTTTTCATAACAGATAGCAGCTGCAGCTTGTTTGCTTTTAGTTTCTGCTGTCACGTCCACTCATTATGTCAAGTAAACGTTTGCCTTAAACACATTTTGTTTTCTATTGTTTGGTACAGAAAAAAAGCCTTTTCTCAATAAGCATTTTGTCACTGTGTGTCTCTGAGGTTTGTAGTAAAATTGGTTTTCTGTTGGCCAAACTCAGGTATTTCACCAGTGAGTATAACAATGTGATACTAAACAAGGTCACCTGACATGCAAATAAATTCCATACTTCAACATAAAAACAGATTTTTACTTGTCTTACTAGAAATTTCAATGTAATCATATTGTTCTTTCAGGACTTCAATAATAAAATAAAGGACAACTCAAAGAATGAACCAGAATTGTGTGGACATATGATTTATCAAACTAGAAAATTGATAGTTGTGCGATAAAGTAGCTATCGAAAATACATTTTGTCATGCAGAAATACAAATTGTTTTTTGCATCATCAAAGCAATACCTGAAAGATGTAGTAAAGCAGGTGGAATTATACATCACTACACTCTAGCAATATGAGTAATAAAATGTGAAACAATATATGATCTTTATTGCACCTTATCTTCCCCATTAAAACACGTGTTTTGTCATAAAAGCAGTGTTATCTCAAGTTTTCAACTTCCTGTTTTCAGATTTGCCTGCGAGACAGAGTTCAGGGCAGAAAACAAAGAATCGCASGTTTGTTGTGATCTGCGCATGCGCACATCATTATAGGCGGAAGTTCACGACACGAGTGRCATATTTTAAAGTTTCACTGAAAATCGAGGTTTGCGCCTTAAAGAAGGATCAGCAAGTGTTACGGAAGACCTAACGACTTATTTTTATTCTGAAATAAGTTGTCCAGATATTTATTTTGTGTCGCAGAAAAATTAAAAACGCTGGAAAAACGTGAGTGTCATTATGTTTTTACTGTTTTGTGCAGCCTATAGTTATAGCCGTGTGTTAAAATATAACTTCGCTGTTAGAACATTTTTATTTTGTGGTAGCCTGATTTATTTGTCTGTGTTTAGTGAATGAACAAAGGTAAATTTAGACGAAACCTGGTGCAAAATAGAAACATGTTAGTGCATTACTATTATTTTTATTTTATTTCAGTTTTTAGACAGTTTGTTCAATTTATTGTATTTAAATTTTCTTGGTTTTGTGTTTTCTGCTTGTGATTTTTTAAAACTTGTACAGTTTCTTTTCATGAGAACAGGGAAGTGAAACTTGTTTACTGTTCCAAGGTGTTTGTATCACTGCAGTACTTTTTACAGATAAAGATGTCAAAATGTTTAAAAACTTTTCTAAAATCATCTGAGATCCTGAAAATATTATTATGTTATCTCCTCAGGGGACTGTCTCCACCCTGTTTGTTATTACAAAGTTATATTGTTATAAATTTGATACTTGTCACCAAAAATGGCACATCTGAGCTTTTAACAGATATAAATCTGAATTTAATGACACTTTTATTAAACTAAATCCATCTGACTTTGTCAGAGGTGACAAAAAGTCTCACCCTTGAGCAGAGTTGTAAAGTAACTTAAGTACAAATACTTTCTCACTGCACTTAAGTAGAAATTTTGCTTATCTGTACTTTACTTGAGGATTTTTTTAGTGTACGTACATTTCTACACARTTATCTGCACTTTTTACTCCTTACATTTTTTAAAAAGGTAAGAAGTAGAAAGCTGTTACTCCTATTTTATTCCATATTATTTTTTAAAAATACTATCCTGATAAATTGTATCTCCTGGATAAAGTGAATTGAATTGTAGTTGGATGAAAAGTATAAATACATATCATTCTGACACCGTATTACTTTATACACAGTCCATCCCAGCTGCACGCCATTAGAAATTTTTTTTGAGAGTTATATGTCTTTTAGGAAAATCTTAACCACTCCCTTTTACTCAGTACTTTTACTTTAAATACTTAAGTAGATTTTATGTCAGAAATTATCTTTTGATACTTAAGTACAAAAAATATCACTTTTCTTTACTTAAGTAATATTCTAAAGTAAACAAATGTCTTATATTTTAATCAATCTAAAGAACTACTCCCAGTGAGTAAACCTGATATTTTTTATAGTTCTGGGCTATATAATTTACTTTACTCAATTTATTGCTACATGCGCCTCATACTTGTGTAACTTGTTTCACTTTGCCATTCCTTCACTCTGTAAAGGCCAATAATTAAAACTAAATTATGAAAGCAAAGCATTGTAATTACCGTATTTATTCATGTATAATACGATCATCATTTTTTGAGCTTAAAAAACATTAAAAATCTAATTATCAATAACCGGTGTATAATACTAACCCCACTTTATGGATGATTTTTAGAGTTAAATTTCTAGTATTATACATGAATAAATACAGTAAATCATTTGTTAGATCTTAGATGGCAGCGTGAAATGTTTATTCTTATGTAAGAAATATTCATGTTCAAAGACTGAAGTCAGTAGAAAACCACCAATGTTAAATAATATGATTGTTAGATGAGATAAAACCAGACAAAACCAGAATTCTGGAGTGGGTTTTATTGCCATTCGGATCTGACAGGAAACCACACACTGCCGAAAAACCAGGAAGTTGATCCATTTATACCAGAGGAGCCCAAAGTGGGGCCCGCGGGCCAAATTTGGCCCTCCAAGCCTTTTGATTTGGCCCACCAGCAGTTGCCATATTTAGTAGGTTGTAACCTGTTGTACTATGTAGAACGTAATCATTTCTTATTATACATAAGTAGTTTTTTTCTCTCTTTTCTTGGTGCTGAAACGATTGTATAAGATTGTATGAGAATGCGTTGCTTGTCAAGTCGTCATGTTGACCAGACAGCTGTGAAGTGAATTGTCTTTTTAGGATAAATAGTCATTTGAAGTTGAAGTAACAGTATTTCCACCTAAAGTCATTAATTATCCATTGGTCCAGTTACTATAAGAGGCTGTAGTGCAGAGTTTTCACTCTTGTGCTTGACCTTATCTTTGATACAGTATATTAGGATTAAACATCAAACATGAAATACATGCAACAAGAAGATATATTTAGCTTAGATTTAACCACACATGTAGATTTGTACACTTTATAAGACCACATAAACTCACATTTTATCAGTTTATGAAATGTCCCATGAGCCTTTGCTGCTTGAGACAGACTTTCTCCAAGTGCACAGACTAAAACAAAACTGGGCCACCGCATTGGCTGCTAGCTTAATCATTAAAAACAATGGACTTTAATTTAAAAATATCTKTATTTCATGTATTACATATATTATCACATTTGGCCCACAGCCCTGGATAGATTTTCATTTTGGCCCTCTCGAGGAAAATGTTTGGGCACCCCGGGTTTATACAGAGTCTTCAATGCCCGCGTTCGCCCCCTACTGACCTACGGCTGAATCACAGGCATTCAGACACAATTCTCCCCTACATGTTCTCATAACGGATAAATATGTGTTGTTATAGATATTTCGGACATGTAACTAACCTATATCAATCAACACATTATAGATTAACCATTATAAAAAAGGAAAACCTAAAAATATAGTGTTGTGCTTTTAACATCAGTACTAATCTGTAAAAACTATAAATTTCTTCACTTATTTTCCAGAGTCCAGGCGTTGTTGGTTTGTTCTGTGTTCCCAGCTGTCAGAAACCCAGACAATCAGGTTAGTATTGTTCAGATCAGACAAACCTGTTGCACTCTKATAAACACTAAAGGTCACTAACAACTTCAGACTGTTTGCTTGTTGTGCCACAGCAAACGTTTTGTAGGTCAAATGGTAATTTTATTAGGATCAGGCAACATCCGCATACTTTCCACTAACTGATGATGATGATGATGATGTTATGTGCAGGAGAGCGTGTTTAAGCGCGCCGTGAGGAGGCCATGTGGTGGTTCCAGCAGGGCCTCTGCTTCCTGCCCGCCGCTCTGGTCGTCTGGACGGCGGCGGCGTTCGTCTTCGCCTACATCACGGCRGTGGTGCTGAGACATGTGGACCCCCTGGTGCCTTACATCAGGTCAGAGTCTGGATGACGAAGACCTCCGCGGCCTTCATCTCACATATGCAGAATGTAAACTAACGCCTGCAAATATTTTGCACTCTTAAAAACGTTGTTGTAGCCGTGTTTTACAAAGATGACATCAGTAATACACAGGTTTTCAAAAAGGGTTTATTTTAAATTATATATATTTTTTATTTTTAGTAGACTGGGTCATTTTAGGATGCTGTTTTGAAACGATGCCTGTGTTTTTAGTCTGAATAGATTAATTAAAGCGTAAAAGTTTTCTGATGTCGCATTTGTTTTGTGTTGCAGCGACACCGGAACCATGGCGCCAGAGAGGTGTGTTTTTGGGCTCATGCTGGATGTGTCGGCTGCTTTAGGTACGGTCCACACCAGGGGTCTGCAACCTGCGGCTCTGGGGCCACATGTGGCTCTTTGGTACCTCTGCAGTGGCTCTTTGAAAATGTGGCCAAACATAACAGAATATTTTTTGTTGGTTTTTTTATACCCTCAACAGAAATCAATTTGTACGCAAATATGTAATCAGTAGTATGCAAAAAGTAAAAAAAAGCTGCTGTGTACTTAAAAAATACAACTTCTTTCTATGATCTCTCAAATCCATCAGAATTGATGATGAATTGATTTTTTTTTTGTAAACTACAGATT